TGTCACTGAAAGCCATCTCCTGTGAGTAGATTAGGCCAGTTGATGGTCAGAGTTGAAATGAGAGTAAAAAAAGCACCCAAACTACCGCAGTTCACAAATAAAAACGAACGGTGAGCGTAGGTTATGCAAGCATCCTTAGCCGCTACGTAGCCCAGGATAGTGTAAAACGGAAATGATGGTAATGGAGGTTTTAAGGGTGAGGCCTCACCGCGGAAAAGCACCGAAATGCTTGCAGAAAACGAAAACTAAAAAACTCTCCACCAACCTTTCCGCAACGCAAAATAGACCAAAACCAACTCTCAATAGATAAAAGGAATTTGGATGATGAAAACCACAATAAAAACAACTTTGTGTATGCCGTTATCTGAATGTAATGAAACAAACAGAGGGTTACCTCCCGCACCTATGAAATAATAAGCCAAACCAGACCAGATTATGAATCTTTAATCCAGGAGGCTTACATAAATAGGAAGTAAAAAATGGTGTAGTAGGTGCAAATAGCTAGTTCGCAACATGCGAGTGACGGGTTAATGATAACGACAGTGAAACTAAACGTAATAGTTCAAACGCTAGTTTCTGTTGGAAGGCCTTAAGCAGTAGTTTGCAAAGTGACCCCCTCTATTTTTATGTATCTGGAATTAAGTAGCGGCGTCCAAGATCATGAAACAAAAGCAATGTCTATCATGGTTATAAAATAAAGGGTAATGTAGGATGCTAAGATGTACGCGTAGTTGGTACGGTTGTTAACACGATTAAGCTAGCCGAACTCAATGAAGTCCCGAAAGCTGATGGACGGAGAATGAATAACGGTGCTAAAGTATATCAGCTTTTAATTTGACCTTCATAAGCACAACACGATATTTACAACTGTATATGAGTAACCGGGGGATGCCCAGTGCATAAGGCTTCTTGTTGTGGTGAAGATATCACATAGAATCGTGAAAAATCTGTCATTTCGTCTTTACGCCGCTGCTTTGGCAACACTCCCGTTCCGAGGTAACTGAAATTGTCCACGTCTCTAAGTTGATGGCTAGTAATCGCAAGGAGCGCCTTGCCATGGTCAGAAGTGCAACTTGAAAACAACCTGGTTTTCCCCGCGTTGAGGGCTAAACTGACTGAGGTAGCAACTACGATGCTGCATTCTATAGACTATTATAGTTTGACGCTAGCACGGCAATATCACCAGCGTAATTAAGGCCCGTCAGCCGACGCATGAATGCAAATTCGACACCATTCAAACCGTGGAGGGACAGCTCTTCCGAGAATACAATCAATGTTGCAGGTGAATGGGAAGGTAAAAAAAGTAGAACCTTGTCAATGAAACTCCAGTACGGTTGGACAATTCAAAGTCCGCCAAAAACCACGGAGGAGTCATTAAATTCATCCTTGTGGCTACAAGGGAGGGTCTCTTTATCGACCTGGTGAGTTGGTAATGTGGGTGGTAGCATGGAGATGACAGAGATATTGGCTAAGTACGCCGTCAGTCAGTTGACTAGACCCGATGAAATCAGTGCACGGTATGATCGTTCAGAGGAGGGTGATAATCCGACCGAATTTATCAGAAAAGTCAAATGGGCCATTGGGAGTTCCCAGTTAACATACCACAAGCTCATTGTAGGGCTTTTCAGTTTCTTAAAAA